ACAGAGCTCGATGCGGGGCTCGAACTCACAGACTGTGAGATCATGACTGTGAGATCATGACCTGGGCCAAAGTTGGACGCTCAACCGACTGAGCCACCCAGGCGCCCCAAGGAGTCCAATGCTTAACCAACTGAGCCATCTAGGTGCTCCAAACAGTCTACTTTTGTCATTAACTTTTTTTTATGGAAGGCAAAATGCAAGTTGTAGGGTCTTTATAGTTTCCATCATCATGGCATATACTGAGTAATATTGCTTTAAGAGTTCTATGATTTCTGAGGCATGTGGTATATTTTGGTAAAACTAGGAAATAGAAAAATATAACCCTATAGTAAAATGTAACTTAGTAGTTGCTTTGTTAGAAAACAGTGCCTTATGTGAAATAATTCAGTGTGATCACCATTACTTGAATCCTCACCCCCAGCAATCTGTCACTGTTTTATTTCTCATTCTGAGAGAAAGACATGTTTCAAAGCCCTGGGTTCTTCTTGTAAGAGCAGTTGGCTCCATTTTAGTCGAATGACACTGAAAAGCCATGTTGCATCAGAAATATTATAGATCTAATAAAATTATGTTAAAAGACAAGTTTTTAAATGTAGGACTTTGGTATGTTAATATTTGTTGCTTTATACAGTTGAAGTAGTTTCCATGGGCTAATTATAATTCTCAGCTATTTTGTCATGTTTTTCCTTAGTTTTGCATTTAAATGATTCATAGATGAATACATGAAATAGATGACATTAAACCTTGAACAGTGTGAAGTGTATAAAGAGTAAAAAATTCCCCATCCCCGGCCCCACCCCCTAACAAACTTAATTTCCCTAGATTTAAATACGGTCAGTAGTGTAACTCTGCACACACTTTTCAGTGCACATGCAGGCACGTCCAGATTCTTTTTCTTCTTTAACCCAGTGTGATCATACTATCAGAGTCCATTTGCAGGCTTGAAACAGAGTAGCGCAGCAAGTTGCTCCGTGGGACTGTCAACTAATGTGGACTAATATGGTGGTAACTTTCTTCCTCCTCCTCAGAAACCATGGACACAGGAGAACCACCTGCACCACTGTCCTCATCTCCTTCACCTTCTTCCCCCTCCCCTACTCTGGGTAGACAGAGGGCTGAAATGGGAACATTTCTCAGGAAGAAGAAAACCAGTGACATCTACTTCGTGTCGCTCGTGTGGGCCATCGTTGGTGTCCAGCTCTGGTTGAACCTGTGGATTGTACAGTTGCTGCCGGTGCCTGTCGCAGGTAGTTGCTCACTTAGGGTCTTGTCTCTGAAGACGTTTTTTCTTTAACTTTGGGATTTTATTTCATTTATTTATCTTATTTTTATTTTTGTAAACGTTTATTTATTTTTGAGAGAGTGAGTGAGTGGGGGAGGGGCAGAGAGAAGGGGACGGAGGCTCCCAAGCAGGCTCTGTGCTGACAGCAGCGAGCCCAATGTGGGGCTGGAACTCACCGACCGTGAGATCATGACCTGAGGTGAAGTCGGACGCTCAACCGACTGAGCCATCCAGGCGCCCCTAACTTTTGGATTTTAGTGTTTGAGATAATGCTACCCTCTTTTAAAACTAAAACAATTGTATATTTAAAGGCATCTTCTAAGACTGGAAAAGTAAGTGACTCAGGTGCATTATTGAAGAGTTTGTTTATTTCGTACCTTCTTGATTGTTTGGGCTTACCTCTTACCACAGTCAGAAGCTTGGCCAAGTTTATTAAGTCCTGAATTGATGCTTAGGAACCTGACATCCAGATACCTCCTACATTTGATTAGTTCTTTATCCTTTATCAAAGTTTTTCACTATTGATTTAAACAAAATTTGATTTTTGGAAGCCTGTTTTCCACCGCAGTTTAAAAATCTAAACTCATTGGACCATTTGCCTTCTAGATCATTACTTTTAAAACTTATTATTCTCATTAACTTGGACAGTTTTTAAAATTTTATTTTTTATTTTATTTTTATTTTTTTTTAAGTTTATTTATTTTAAGAGAGAGTTGCAAGCAGGGGAGGGGTAGAGAGAAAGGGAGAGAGAGAATCCCAAGCAGACTATGTGCTATCAATGGGGAGCCTGATGCGGGGCTTGAACCCACGAAGTGTGAGATCATGACCTGAGCCAAAACCTAGAGTCAGATGCTTAACTGACTGAGCCACCCAGGCACTGCCCCCCCCACCCCTTTTATTAAAGATTTGTTATGACCAGAACACTATTTAGTGCCTTTCCTTAGGGAACATAGAATATAAGAGGTTGAAGTTTGTTTCTGCTTCTTGCATCCTCAAACAGAACTTCTGTTTGGCAGTTGGAGTAAGACACAGTTGTCATTAAGCAAGCCACAGGGTATGTACTATAGCCATGGTTTCTATTAAGGAATTCATAGAAAAGCTTAGTGAAATCGTTTAAATTGCTCTTCTGGATTGCTCCATACTTTTTTGGTTTTGCCAGATGATTTATTTTATGCTGCCAAATGGTATCAGGTGCTGTTGGAACCCCTTTTCTTTAAAATTTGTTAGTAGGAGTTCCATTTGTCCCAGTCATTTCTTAACCTTCAGGCCATTATAGGAATTTGACATGTCCTTGAGAGAGTAGGCTGTAAGCAGGTGGCCCCCAGAACATTTTCCACAGCCTATAATTACTCTGGGCTTATTCTAGAGCCCTAGGAGCTTTCCTAGGACTTCTTTAGAGATTTAAAAATGTTAATGATGAAGTTGTTGAACTGGTATGCAACACTGAGCTCATGGTTCAAAAGAGTAAACTGTGAATCATTAGATTGCAAGGCCAGGGCTAAGGACACAGAAATCTCTGGAGTTAGGGAAATTATAGTAGTTGAGATCAATTATCCGGAGTCCAGACTTCAAGGCCCCTGCCCCCCATAGATGAGTAGCTCTTCCTTCTGGCCCCACCACTTTCTTAGTTGGCTTTTAACAGGAAGCTTAACGTCTGCTTGCAGGGCCCCCTTGCTGCCCAGAGTGGAGGGGTACCTTCATACTGTGCTCTGTGAGTGGTCTGTGCAGAAGTTGTGCAGTGCACAGCCTGGGGGCCACTTGTAACAGCCCTGCTTAAGCCCACTCTGCTAAGAGATGCAGATGTACAGAGCAGCATCAGGTAGAGAAATCAGAGTACAGCGCACTGGTGTAAAATCATGATGCGAATGGAATACCTTCTACCCTTCGGGTCACTAAACATTAAACATCCAAGGAAAAGAATCACATTTGGCAAGAGCAGTGATAATAGCTAAGGAAATTAGGACATGTCAGGGGTTAGTATTCTTTACCCAAGAAGGGTGAGGGGCGAGGGGCCAAGATCGTAGTCCCCTAAATCTTCATGATCAGTGTTTTATGTTTATACGGGCTATGAAAGAATCCATGGCTCCTTCAAGGATTCAGATTTCACTACGAAGGTAATGTATGGGCAGATGGGGCTTGTATGAAAAGTTATCGTCCCTAATTCTGTCTGTTTGGAATACCATGAACTTTTATCTCTTCCCCCTTGCCTTTTTTCCCCCTTAATTGGTCTTTATTTCATATTAGCTTCACTGTTTTTTGAAAGGTCACGTGAAATTAAAGGACCTTCTCATGTTCTGACTTTGTATGTTCTTTGTATGAGAAAGGACCTTTCTCGTTCTGATTTTGGCTTTGTATGCTTTTCTTCGTTATAGTCTGGATCCTCAAAAAGCTTGTCATTCACTTTGGAGTCGTGGACTTCCTGGCGAAACGCTGCCGCGTGTGGTGGCAGGTGGCTGAGCACTTCCTCAAGGAGCGGCAGGAGGCTCTCGCACCATGGCCGGTTATTGGGCTTGGAAAATTCTTGTTAAAAGTTGATAGCAAGGTATTGTATTTTAAGACCTTGGGCTGTTTTGATGGAGTTTATAATACACATATTCCATTTCCTGGTATTTGGTGTTCATACTGGGATTGCTGATAACACATTTAACATCTAAATCTGTGATGAGATTTAAAGTTTAGAATTACGCCTTATGTGAGTATAGGATAGATTTAGTTTAAGTATTATGTAAGTAGTTTTCCCTCTAAAAAGTGGGAGAAAAGGATGTTCTAGAACACCTTGTTCAACTCCCTCATTTTATAAGGACCAAATTGAAATTTAGAGGGACTAAGTGACTTGCCTAAAATTATATTGCCAGGTAATGCCTCCTCAGTGCAGTGAGTATTTCTGGGGTAATTCCCACAGGTCAAATAATGTGCTAATAAGTCCTCAGGAAAATCTAGTGAATCACAGAAAACTGGGTGCAGCAGCCCTGTTTAGTGGAGAGACAGCAATCCGTTAAAATTCGGAGGCAGTGGTTGAGAGCATGGACCTTGATTCCACACTGGTTTCAGATCTCGGTTATTCTACTCACTAGCTATGTGACCTTGAATGAGTTTCTTAACCTTTCTGTGCCTTGGTTTCCTTATCGATACAATAAATACAATAGAATGCACCTCATGGAATGGCTGTGAGGGTTAAGTGAGTTCCTAGATCAGCGCCCGGTATACAGTAAGCTTTGTGTAAGTGATAGCTGTGGTTGTAATTTGTGTGTGTGTGTGTGTGTGTGTGTGTGGGAGGGGGGAACGCATGTACAGGATACAGTGGTCATACTGATCAAGAAAGGACTCACTGTTGGTGAGGTAGTGGGAGAAGGGAGGTTTTGCAGAAGAGGTGATGCCATAGCAGATTTTGAAGCGCAAGTAGGGGTTCATTAGGTTGACAGGGCAAGAAGAACAGGTGGATGGAGCAGTGCACAGGTCGAGATGGCCACAGCATGACTTCTTAGGGAACACCAAGGAAACAGTCATGGCTGGAATATGCGAAGAGGTGAGGCTGGAGAGTCGGTGAGACAGAATTGAGGCCTTCGTGGGTGCTGTGCCATGTGAGTTGGACTTCCTCACAGAGGCTCGGAAATCTTTGAGCGGGTCCATCCATAACTTTGGGTTGAGAAATACTGTTAGGTGAAACCAGCATAGATAGGGATGAGAATAGTAACTGGAGTTCATGTGAGGTGGAAGGAAATAAATCTTTTAAACCCGTAGTAAAGTCTCCTGGGTCAACAGAGATGCAGGGGGATATGTTTCCTTACATACTGTATTGCCTGTCTTCCAGAAAGTTTGCCAGTTCTAATTCCCACCAGCGTAACCTATGAGAATGCCCATTTCCTGAGCTCTTGCCAATACTAGATATTATAATGTAACAAAAAGTCCTTTTTATTTCAGAAAAAGAAGGATTTCAGTGTTTTAATTTGAAATTTTAAAAAATAAAAATGAGGTTGCTTATTGGCTATTAATATTTTACTTTTGTGATTTGCCTATTTGTTTCTTTTTTCAACTTTTTAAATAAGAAAGACTCAAAGACTTCTCACAGATTTTAACATATTGATCACATCTTCCTGGTATCGGGGTGAAGCTTTGTCTTACTAGCACAGATACAGTCCTTCAAACTGTTTAAAGAGGATGACTCCTACTTCAGTTAATTTTTGAAAGCCTTAGCACTGTCAGAAGGGATAGACACTAAATCTTGTTTTCAGAACCCCAGGTACTTGTATTTGGAACCCTTTACTCAAGAAAACTCTACAATTGTGTCAGCTGAAGTTCCAGGGGCATCAAAAGTACTTTCTATGGAGCAGCCTTGTGAAAACTTGTCATTTTTTATTCAAATTTGTATGTCAGTTTGTTCATCTTACAAAGGAAAGGAGACAGTAAAATGAATCAAACTAGGATTTGTGGTTTTGTATAATAAAACCTACCAAATGGCTATCAAAACTGAATATTTGTTTAATTATAACTGATACCATAATTATGTTTTATTTAGTATAATAATATACATGGGCTGCTGCTTTGGGGAATAAATCTCTTTCATATTTCTATTAAATTTTAATTGATCGTACAGTGTTTTTAAAAATATTCCTGTATAGGAGATTGTTTGAAGTATATTTTTAAACATGCATCGAGTGTACTTTTAGTCAAAACTCTGCAAACAGCATTTACATTTACTCTGATGAAATTATGCTTTTTAGCCTTTGTACTTTCTGGATCACTAATAATGCTGTAAATCCTATGTTTAGTGATTTTTAGATCCTGTGTTCACCAATTAGCATTAGTTATTATAGTGCTAAATATTGTGAGGTTTCGATGAGGTGACTGTTAGGTGAAAGAAAGGATGTTACAGGAAGTAGAAAGATACGTGCTTAAGTAATTGAGATGGAAGGAAATATACCCAGTATTAACAGAATCTTAGATGGCCAGGTGTTCACTGTTCCAGATGAGCCCTGGAATGTTTTACTGTTTAAAAAAGATGAAATAATTAATACCATAAAGCTAAAAGTTCAGTGAACACATAGTATATGAACGTGAATTAATTTATACAGAAACTAAAAATCCTTTTGGTGCATGATATGTGAAAGAATCTTAATCATTCCTGTGATCTTTGGAATTTGGTGTGACTGTTTAAGCTGACAAGCATTCAGGTTATTTTATGTATTTTTAATGTTGAATTGCCAACAAAGCTTGTGTTTATTTCTGTCATTGTATATCTTAAAGGAATATTTTATTCACTTGATTTTAAAGCTTTGTTAATGCATTACAGTTATTTTTCTAGTTTTTTGTTTTCTTTTTTTTTGTTTGTTTTTGGTCTGGGATTATTTCCTCCTCATATTCTCGGTGACTTTCTTTTCTTTTCATACTATTATTGCATTCTCTAATGATATTCCACTGTTCTTATCTTTTCTTTCTTACCTTACCCCCTGTCCTCAAGCTCTGGCACTGGCTAAATAAGAAGGTAAATGAACACATGGATGTTGGTTTTTACTACTGAATTCCCCCTTTATCTCTATTCTCATTCTGTTTCTGTCCATATGTCAAACTTAGTTTATGCTTCTAAAAGTTCAAATTAATAAGCTATGGAAGGTCGTGAAGCATTAGTACTGTCACAGTACAGTTTGCTAAACACCCAAAGCTATTTATTTTAGGATACATGGATGCTGTCTCCTTGCCTTGGTGTGTGTAAGAAGTTCTGTCTTGTAGTCCTTTTGTCCAATGTAAGTGATTGCCATTCCTTTTCGGCTCTGTAATGTGGCCCAGCCTGATAACTCTGTTCTTCTTTGATGTGTGAGAATATTTGATTCACTTGGCTGGTAATTTTATATAGTGTCTTTTTTTTTTTTTTTTTTTTTTTTTTTTTTTTTTAATATAACTAGTACTCCAGAATTTCATTTTTAACTTAAAAAAGATTGTGGTCATGGCCTGTGACATCTAATTTCATGTATTTCCCAAGGTATGAGATTGTATGTATGGTAAATGCTTCACATGATTTGCATGGAATAGGTTACATTTTTAATAACTTTGATAAAGGCTAATCTAGATAAATTAATGCTGTACCTCTGACATGTCCACATGTAGTAGTTCTAGACTTAAATTCATCAAATCTCTGGGACAGATAGCAAGAGATGACATTTATGCGTATTGTGTTTAAACACGATAAGACCCTAAAATTTTAACTGGAAATATTAAAACAGGTCTTAAGAAAGATGTACTTGTTGGAAATAGATCAAGGTGACATTTTTGAGTGTAGAGATTAGGATTTCCTTCTTTTTTAATTTTTTTTTTAATGTTTATTAGAGTGAGCAGGGGAGGGGGGAGGGAAGGAGGGGGAGAGAGAGAGAGAGAGAGAGAAAGAAAGAAAGAGAAAGAAAGAAAGAAAAGAAAGAAAAGAAAAGAAAGAATTCCAAGCAGAGGATCCCAAGCAGACTCTGCTTTCAGCACAGAGCCCGATGCGGGGCTTGAACTCACAAATCCTGAGATCATGACCTGATCCGAGATCAAGAGTTGGACGCTTAAGCGACTGAGCTGCTCAGGTGCCCCAGGATTTCATTCTTTCAGTTGTAGAAGAAAGGGGAGACTTGACAATGCCTAAACGTGTGTAATAAACAGCGTGTAAAATAAATAAATACACTTATAAACCACCCCCCAACATATATGCTGCTGTCTATACCTCCATTCCCTGCAAAACTAATATGATTAAATGAGTTAAATCCTTGGCAAATGATAGTGCTGTAAACGGAAGTCACATTTTCTCATTTTGAGCAAAGTAGGTGGTTTTAAACACTTCTCCAACTTGTGTATATTGAAATTAAATTGTCCTCAAGGGATGAGAGGAAGTAGAGTTAAAATCATTAGATTCAATTTGATTTAACCTTTGGTGACTACATGAATTAGATTACCTAATTTAGAAGTCTAACTCATAGCTAACTAGTGGTGACTTCAGTTATAAAAGGTTCCTAAGAGATCACGTGACGTTTTCCTTTTCTTTGATGATGTGGTGTAGCATAGATAAAACATTGGTGTTGAGCAGGAGTAAGTGCTTTAAGTTCTGAGGCTATATGTTTGAGGAAAGCACATAAGTAAGTTGATGTCTGTTTTATTACAATACATCCACGGCCAGAAAATTTGAAGCACTGGGTATTTGGTATTTCAAGTTCAAGTTGGGTGAATTAGGAAACAAATTCAAGAGAAGTGAGGGTGAGAGAGAACACATCTATGGTTAGTTGAAACACAACCTATTTCCCAGGGTTTGTTTTATTTTGTAGTATTGATTATTTGCACTAAACCTCAACCAGAATTTGGTTGAAAAAACAAAGGGAAATAAAAGCCTACAGGCCCAGAATAATGAAATAGGAAAACTCAGCAGTGGAACGATACTTTCTTAATAGGCTTGCTACATGAATAAAGCTAGTTTGGAATTTTCAGAGTCTTGGAGTATAACCGTACATTTACTGACATCTCTAAATTTAAAAAAAAAAAAAA